GCTACTATTAACTACTGCGCGCTCAAAAGAAAATAATTAATATGATTCAAGGTAGAAATTCAAAGCACAACAGTCATCTTTTTAATTTGTTAGTTGATCTTAATGCATATTTGTTTTTGAAGACCTTTCTTATTGAGAGGGGCGATAGCATACTAAACTCACACACACTACACAGAGGCTAGGACTCGAACCCAAGACCTCTCCTAGCAGAGCAATTGCTCCAAGCCACTACACTAGTGGGTCCTTTGCGATCTTAATGCATATTTAGGTTATTGGAAGTTGGCACAAGGTCCATGAAGGGCGACAGGCTTGCATAATTGATTCTTGTATCTGTCAGTCTCGGTTATCTTTTTAACCATAAAAAAACTGCAAAATATTGAAAAGTTGACCACTATTGATCAGGAACTGGACTTCTTTTGGATAACCTCCAACTCTTGGGAATGTAGCTAAATCAAATAAAACTTCTAGGGAGACCTACATTCAAAGATGATTCTTCAGAAAAGTAAAAGTGCAGATATGTTACACAAATGCATGTCTGATTTGTTATTGTTCATTCATCTTCTTCTCCTCTTCGTTCTCTTCTTCTTCTTATATTTAATTAAGTTTGTTGATTTCAATTCTTACAATTTCTTTTTCCCTTAGTCATTCTTCCCTGTGTGTGTTTTCCATAGTTTTCCAGCATCCCTCACCAAATTCAGGTAGGACCTGAACTGATCCTTTTAGTGCACAAGTGCATTATCTTCTTTCCTGGTACTAAACTGAGGTTGGTGGCAGTAGTCTGAAAAAATGGAAGTTTCGGTTAAATCTAAACACTTTTGTTCGGTAATTGATTATCCAAGATAGCTTAAATGATTGATTAAGAGTTCTTATGAAGAGTTATCTTAAGATGGGTCACATTATTTTGGAAGTCCTCTTTTTTCACTGGTGAATACAGACACTGAAATTCCTCTTATGCACTACTGTTTCTCATACTACGCTCTGATTGATTGCCCTGCAAATGTAGAAGAAAATAAAATCTTGTCCCCCCACAATTTGGGTGTATTTGCATTGTAGGTAATACTGAGGTGCAGTAAGCCCAATGAAATTCTGGAAGAAGGAAATTTGATATTAATACAGAGATGTAATATAAAGGCTGAGGCTTAGAACAGGTTATCTAAAGTTGACAAACCCATATAGGGAATCAGTGAAAAGGTTTCTGGAAATTACCTGGTGCTGGAAACGCCAGAGAAATAATATTCATTGTTTCATCCTTTATTTTTAAATATTTTTCTTAAGGAGCATTTGTTGAGTTTAGCTTGTTAATGACATTTTCTTTTTGTCGTTTTGAATGAAATAGTTCCTAAATAATTTACACTATGCTTTTTCAAAAAAAAATTATTTCAATGCAATCACTATTGAATAAATAAGAGAATAAGAATGTACAAGAGAATCCACCACTCCAAACCTATTTGAGGTGGTATTTAAGAGCTTTTTGGAATGAGGCACAGGAACCAAGTTTAAGTAAAGAGACAGCTGCTAAACTAACTACAATGGCTAGCAATAGTTTTGCTAAAACCCTTATTTTGTTCTTTTTTTCATTTTATGATTTGAGAGTAACGTTGACAGGTGAATGAGATTTGCATTTATTTTAGGCATAGTTGCAAAGCTCCGATATTATTTTGACCATATTAGGATTTAAAATGATTTATTTCGTTTTACTTGTTACTGTTGTATTGAATTATTTTCAGATGCTTAATTTATTTTGGGGGTTTCCTATAGGCCTTATTTTGATAGGTGGCTTCAAGTTGACTCTGAGTTTATCCTAATTCTCTCTCCTGTTTTGTTACTTCTCATATTCAATCTATATCTATCTCCTCTCTCTCTCTCTCTCTTCTTTTTTCTGTTATCCTCTATACATATTATTCTCTGTCCTGCATCAATTTAGAAACAGAGCTGATGGTACTAGATTTTGATAAGTGAATGTGCTGGCCAGCATTCGAGTTCATTTGACTGTTTATTCTCCTTTTCGTTCACACGCTAGGACCCCACAGGTGTAGCATAGAAGAGAACAAAAGAAGATGGATAAAGAAAAAGCAATTGGCACAAGTATGTTGAAGAAATAATAGGTTTGCAGAAGAGGACATGGTTTGTCATGTGGTGGGCATGGGCTATCTAGATTAGTCCTTGGAACTACTCTATGGTGGCCTTCCAATTGCGGAGGCCCCAAAATACAAATTTACCTGACTCCACCTTGATGATTTTGCTGTGCCATAATGTCTAGAATCAGTTGACTGAATTGAATAATATCAAAAAAGAAGAAGAAGATATTAAGAGAACTAGGATATCATTGAATAGATTATGTCTTCCAATTTCTTAAGTAAAGTTGTTTCTTTGTATTGCTCATTGGTTTAGTAGAAAAGAAACTTATAATGGTGGGAACCTAGGGAGGATGACTGTCCTACAAATGAAATGGTGCAACTTCTACTGTTGTGAAAGTTATATTTTGAAATACTCTAGTCTCCTCTATGTGAGACACCTTAATTTAGGAAATTTCTATTGCATATGGTTTCAATAACGATAAAACTGAAACATTGTCACAAACACACTAGTGGATTACCTCTATTTTACCAGGAAAACTTCGTTTACATTTTTTAGAGTATAAAGGAAAGCTTTGATTACATTTTTGAAAGTATAATTTTTCTTAAGCTAGTGTAACATAGAGGAGATTGGAGTACTGGAGTATTTTCATTTATAAGGACTTGACATAGACTAGATTGGAGTATTTCAAATGAAATGGTGCAAGTTTGCAAGTCCCTTCATAATGTAATGCTGGAGCGCTGATAGAATTGGGGGCACTCTATATATATAGAGGGTGTATATAGGGTGCTCCCAATTCTATCAGTGCTCTAGCATTACATTATCTTTGACGTTGCAAATAAAATTCTGAAAATTACAATCAGGAAAGAAAGATGCGATGGGGAGGGGGAGGGGGAGGGGGTATTTAATGATTGAAAACATATGCATCCATCCTCCTCATGTGATTAATGTGAGTAGGGTAGAATGTAGTTAACATGCAGATGGTAAGTGAAGATGGTGATTTTTCATTTGGTTTGACTGAATTAAATGGATGCAAGGCTAGTGCCAAAATAAGTATTTAGTGAATGAATTACTAGTAATAATCTCAATGGCCGTTGGTGGCCATTAATCTTAATTTTCATACTTTAATTTTGCACCTACAGAGTCTACATGAAAAAGAATGTCACTCTCACACATACTGACTTATCACACCGGTAGATAACAAGTTTACTGATCACACTTAGTCCAATTTTTCATATTTTTTATACTATTAATGAAATTATTTATTTGACCACATCGGAGAGATGTTTAAAAAAAAAACACAGAAATTATTTTTTTTAATGAAAATGCAGCGTTTTTACTAATTAACCCCTACCAAAAAAAAAATCCAACAATAATTTTACAAATGTGGAGAAGGTAGGAGTGATATTTGAAGCATCCAATTCTTGTGGAACTAGCATTGCATCCATTTAATTCAGTCAAACCAAATGAAAAATCACCATCTTCACCTACCATCTTCTGCATGTTAACCACATTCTACCCATGGGGGATGGATGCATATATTTTCAGTCATTAAATACCCCCTCCCCCTCCCCTCAAGTAGTATCGCATCTTTGTTTCACATATCCTGCCTTCAACAATCTTGTGAAGGAAGGGAAAAAGACCTCTCTCCCTTGTGAGAGCTCCCTCACCGTGTCTCTGGCTTGTCTTAGAAATGGATCCCTGACCAAAATTTCGCCATTGTTAAAAGAGGCTGTCAGGAGAAAACAAGTTTACAAGTTTCTTGAAAGTGAAATTTTGGTTATGTTCAAATCAAAGACGGCTGATTAGACAAAATTAAAAGTTAGAGCAGCAGAAGTAGTTTTAGACGGGTCGTTAGTTTCAACTCTAAGAGCAACTAACGACTCGTCCAAGGCCTCCTTTTGCTGCTCAAACTTTTCATTTTTCATCTTTAATTTTGTGTCATCAGGCATCAGCTGTCGTTGATTTGGACATAACCAAAATTTGGCTTTCAAGGGACTTGCAAACCTGTTACCTCCATTCTCACTCAGCCTAGGACTTCTGAGTCTTATTCCAAAATCAGCTGTGCTTTCACCTTCTTTTCTGGGTCATATTTATGCCATCATATCCGGACTGAGAGGATTTTGAGTTGACCATCAAACCAAGTTGACCATCAAACCAACAAAAAGAGAAGCTGATTGAATTAATTATTGATATTCTAATGTTTAAATAATATATGATAAAAAGTTGATTTTGATTATATGCTTTTTTGAACCATCAATTCTGAAAAGGTCAAGTGGCATGGACCAAACGAAGTGAGGAAATTGAGAGACATGGGAGACAAATCTTGTGTCTGCTAAGCATGTGGGGGAGAGAGAGGGAGGCATGCCCTGTTTCTGTCTGTCTGCTTTTTAAGCTGCAATTCAGGGCCTACAAGTGGGGCAGCTGCTTTTCCATTCTCTTCTTCCTAGCCTCCAAAATTGTTGATACTGTTTGTCATTTTTGTTGAGGAATGACAGCTTCTTTTTTTTTGTATTGTTACAAGCTGAGATTTAGACAACATAGAATCTAGAATATTCATTCTATATGTGATCAATTAAAATTAAGTATTTGTTAAGAAAAAAAAAAAACAAGATTGAAAGAAGCAATTGCTGATATGCTAAGGTTCAGCCACATTTTCAGCAATTCAAACTAGGATGAAAAAACTAGTGAACATGCATGTTATATATAACGTCTCTCTCACAATACGGTAATTTGTAATGATTTTAAAAGAACAAGGAAAATGATGAAAATATAGAGAAAATAATTAAAAAAAGAAAAGAAATGCGGGCAAGTGTGACATGAAGCATTTTCACCATATTGACGTCTCAAAACTGTACAAGCAACCTAAACCCATCACCATCCAAATAACTACTCAAACTTTCCTCATGTCCCTCAATAGTAATATTCTCTTATGTTGGGATTGAAAATCAATTCACTAATGTCCTTGGAAGGTTTAGAAAGAAAAGAGGATAAAAATTAACTTTGAGCTGAAGACTGCTTTATTAGGGGTTGGGAAGTTTTTCCCCATTCTTCAGGTTGGCTCTTAACCTCCATTAGCAATGCCACCACTTCCTTCATGGTCGGCCGTTCTGCCGGCGAAGAGTTTACGCAGAACATTGCTATTCCGAGTGTTTGCAGCATCTCTTGCACCATTTGATCTGGCAGACCTTGGAGCTTTGCATCTAGTATTGATACAGCTGGTTCGAAGCTTCCCATCTTCTTCTTCACCCATTCAACAATGTGTAGCCCATCACCAATCTGTGGCTGAACAGCACTACGCCCGCTTAAGATCTCCAGCAAAACCACACCATAGCTATAGACATCACTTTTCTCTGTTATGTTCATTGTGTATCCATACTCTGCATTCATAATGGAGATTATTTGTTAGAATATGATCACTCCCAAGACTTGTGACAAAATAAATACCAATCTATTTGTATTTGGATAACAACAGCCATCCAGATTGAACAAATTTTTATAAATATTCTAATGCAACCTTTGATGCATAATCATGCGTCATCAATACTCTTCTTATACAGCCAACTAGGAAAAGATCAAATGTTAATTTGAAAGGGCAGTGTGTTGCAATTTATATTAACTTCTCAAAGAAAAAATGAAACACCCTTACCTGGTGCAATATAACCATAAGAGCCAGCTACTCTGGACATTGCATGGTGGTAAGTTGGAGAGTTCATCAACTTTGCCAGACCAAAATCTGCGAGATAAGCTTCATACTTTGAATCCAAGAGTATGTTATTGCACTTCACATCCCTGTGAAGAATTGCCGGGACGCAATCGTGGTGAAGGTATGCTAAACCTTGAGCTGAGCCAATTGCAATCTTGTACCTAGTTTCCCAGTCCAAGTTCCTATTCCCTTGCAATAGCTGTTGCAGATTACCATTGGGAATGAAGTTGTATAGAAGCAGCTTCACACTTCTATTTGAACAGTAACCTAGGAGCTTCACAATGTTCCGATGGCGAATGTGTCCAAGAATTTGAATTTCTGCAGCGAAAGAGTCTATCGGTTCTTCCTCTTGTTTTGTTTTCCACAGCTTTTTCACCGCAATCAAATCTCCGTTCTGCATTTCAGCTTTATAGACAATCCCAGAACAACCTTTCCCGATCACATTTTCATCCTTGAGACAATCCAAGATGTTGTCAATGGTGAAATTTAGCTTCTGAAATGGGATGAAGGTCCACGGATAAGAGAAATCTTCAGCTCCCGATGACGATGCCAATGCTCCTAAAGATTTCTTTACCATATACCTATGATTTCGCATAACAACAATCCATGAGGCAATAACTGCTATGGTTACTGATGCCAGAATCACAGTGATTAAAGCAACAGTTTTCGCAGATTTTAAACCATTCTTCTGCATTAGACTTGAAGAACAAGTAGTCCCATCAGCAGACTCACAAAGATGTGGGTTCTTAAGATATGAACTTGAAGAGAGAGTTCTGAAGAACGGCGTAACTGGTATGGGACCTGAGAAATTGTTGCAGGAGATATTTAGAGAAGTGAGACTAGTTAGAGAACCAAGAACCTTAATGTTTCCAAAGAGCATATTATGAGAAAGATCCAATGATTGCAATTGTGTCAAACCCTCCATTGTCTCTGGGATTTCTCCTGTAAAACTATTTGAGCTCAAGTCCAAACTGATCGTCAAGCTTGTCACATGACCAATTTCAGGGGGGATTGGACCAGAGAGGCTGTTGAAGCTCAAATCCAGCAAAGTTAGCTTCTGCAAGTTCCGAATAGATTTCGGTATTGAGCCTGTGAGTAGATTATTGTTGATGATGAGCTTGTTCAAGTAACTTAAGTTTCCAAAGCTCCAAGGAATTTCGCCAGTGAAGCTGTTTCGGCTGAGATCAAGTTGCTCCATATTCACAAGCTCCCCAAGCTCAGATGGAATTTCACCACTTATATAGTTGTTGTGCACATCCAATAGTTCAAGAACTGTGATGTTGGCAATCTCAACTGGAAGGCCTCCAGAGAAATGATTCATGTACAAGTCAAGAAAGACAAGGTTTTGCAGTTGGCCTATCTCCTTAGGAATTTGTCCTGAAAGCTGGTTTTCTCCAAGTCTTAACCTGACTAGAGATTGACAATGTGCAACACTTGGCAGCAACCCGCCCGATAAGGAATTTCCCAGAAGCAAGAGCTTGCTCAGCTTCTTCAAACTGAAAATCTCTTCTGGGATTGACCCAGTAAGCTTGTTTCTTGAAAGATCAAGTGCATAAAGTTCAGTGCAGTTCCCGAATGAAGATGGTATAGTTCCAGATACTAAATTACCCCACAAGAAGAAACTCTGCAAGGATTTCAAATTACCAACTTGCCATGGAATTGTACCTGATAATTGGTTCTTGTCAAGTTGAAGAGCAGTAAGGCTTGTACAGTTGCTCAGCTGAGATGGTATTGTCCCAGTAAGCGAATTATCCGAAAGATGAAGCTGTTCAAGAACCACCAGCTTCCCTATATCTCTTGGAATTGCGCCAGAGAGATCATTAGCAGAAGCATCCAGAATAACAAGTGAAGAACAATTTGAAATCTGAGCTGGGATTGGTCCTGATAATGCATTGCCCCAAAGAAGCAGGCTAGTGAGCTTTTGCAACTTTCCCAGTTGTGGAGGAATTGAACCAGTGAGCTTGTTCATGTGCAAATACAAGTTCCTCAGCTCCAAACAGAGCCCAAGTTCAGGGGGAATAGAGCCAACTATTTCAGTATCATAAAGAGCCAGTGTTTGGAGATTAACTAAGTTCCCAAATGTGGATGGGATCGTCCCCGAAAGCCCGGTAGCCGCGGCACCAAAGGTTGTGAGATTGGTGAGTAGGCCTAACTGTGATGGAATTTCTCCGGATATATACGGATTCCCACCGACACGAAACTGTTGGAGGGAGACCAGAGAGCCCAGTTGTGATGGGATTGAACCGTTGATGAGATTGTCTTGGAGGCAAAGGACTTGAAGTGAAGTGAGGTTAGCAAGTTGCTGAGGCATTTTATCAGACAATCTGTTGGAATTCAAGAAGAGGAACTGAAGAGCAGAGAGATTGCCCAGCTCTGGGGGAATGGAACCAGTGAGAGAATTGGCGGAGAGGTCAAGGAGGCGAAGATGGGTGAGTTGGCCAAAGGAAGGAGGGATTGTGCCTGAAATGTTGGTGGAGGAGAGGTTGAGAAGCTGAAGATATGAGAGAGAAGAGAGCTGTGGAGGCAAAGAGGAAAGGTTGAGGAAAATGTTGGGAAGAGAGAGTGAGATGACTCTGTTTTGGGGAGAGCAGCTTATGCCTTGCCATGAACATGGTGTTTGACTAGATGGGTCCCATGAAGACAGCACAGAAGAAGAAGAAGAAGAAGATTGTTTTGCAGGCAGAAGGGAGAGAAGAGCTTGGCCATCAGAAGACAAAGAGGTAACTAATAAGATTTTTGCCATGGTCATGTAAATCAACAATGTGAAGGAGAATAGAAAATGGGTACTGTTTTGTTCCATTTTTTGAGTACTTGTGGGAAAAATGAAGGCTAAATGGTGAAGAAGGAGAAGAAAAATGGGGGGTTGTTCTTGTTGTTGAAGATGAAGGTGAAAGTCTACTCTAAGGAGACAACATGCATGTGAAGGAGGTTTCTGTGGTTGATGAGAATGCTTGAATTTTACAACAAGGTGTTGCACTAAACATGCATGTGAACAAAAAAGCTTGTGTCACACATATCTTTAAGTAGAGTTGTATATACAGTGTTGAATTTGGTCAAACAAAAAATGGTTGAGTGTGATGTTATTTTACCTGAAAATGCTCTTTCTCATCTTCAAGACCTAGCTAGCTCTGGTGGTCTTGCTCTTCTTGTTCTTGTTGTGGTGGTGGTGATGAAGATGACAAAGTTTAGGTTTGAAGTTTAAACTGTCTCCTCTGCTCTGGTCAACAGCACCAGAAATTAATGGTGCAGATAGCCATGTGTTTGAATGGTTTCAAGGTTGGAGTTGTGGTGGTGGTGGTGGTGGCGGTGGTTACTATAAGCTTTGAGGTCTAAGGGAGTTAGAGAGAGATTTCTCTTTTCTCTTTCTCTTTCTCTTTGCTTGTGTTATGTTTCCAAGGCTTTGAAATCCCACCCTTATATTTTCATATAACTATCACTACCAATTATTCTGCTCTACACTTCCTAGTAGTGAAGTGCTTGGCGCCACTTATCAATCTGATTTCCCAAATTACCCTTCTTAGTCAATGAAGGTGGTCCCTCATTTTTCTCTCTGAGTTACTAGGGGCATTGCTGACAAACTCAATGTGGGGTTGCTCATATCATTTTCCTCTATTTGTTCCCGCTCATGCAATTGTCATGGATAGGTGACACTTGGAATCTTTACCTTGCAAACCTAGATGTTGAATTTGGATTTAATCTTTATATATACCAAATAAGGTTTCGATCCAACGCTCCAGATTAATCTTAGGTGGACAATATCAGAAAAATTCATCTGACCTAATAAGTGATCACATTTACTGATAAGTTTATTAATGGTATAGAAATAAGACAATGTTCTAAATAAAACTACTTCAATCACATTTATTGATGATGTTTTAAATAGAGGTGAGACTCTCGTCTAAGAATCTCACTTTCCATTAAATATGTGATTAATAACATAAAGAAAATAGCAAGGCTCGTATATTGTGATAGTTATAGATGGCATCCAACCTTAGTAATAAAATTAAAATGAATGTAATGCAAAGATGGTAATTGCATTTAGGCCGAGACAGAATCAAAAAATTCAGAGTCTAGGGCATGGGGTGGCACAGGGAGACTGCCAGCTGCCTAGGGAAGAGAAAGGCTTTGATGATAATTTGAGAGAGAGAGAGAGAGAGAGCATGGAAGATTGTGAAAGGCAAAAGGGTTTAGAGTAAGCAAACCAATTTCAATGTCTTTTTCTGGTATAAACTATGCGGCCTTAAACGTGGCCTTGGTGTTATTATAAGGGGTTGGGCTTAAGGGTAGCGTGGAAATAGAGGAACTTTTATTGGAGCTTATGGTTTACTATTTTTTTACTGTGGTGAGGGTGAAATTATGTAAGTAGAGAGGCAGTGATTTGGTTTCCGAGGTAGAGGTGGTAGTGGGTTTGTTTTGGGAGTGGAGCAAAAGAAAAATTTACATGATCACATGAGAGAGAGAGAGAGAGAGAGAGAGAGAGAGAGGTTTTGGAATATATTAGGGCACAATGCACGATTAGGGTTTTCTTTAGGGCTTTAGGTTTTGACTGTTTTGTAGCAATTCAGCCGCACGAGATATTATTCATTTCATTAATGTCACACTCACACACAAGAAGTTTTCATTACACCTATGAGGAAGTGACAAAAAACAAAAATTGTTTTAAGAAGAGTTACAGTAATTAGAGCATATTTGAGGAAGATGTCAAATGCAAAATTTTAAATTTGAATTTGATGGTTTATGTGGAAATTTGACATTTTGAAAAAAAATTTAACTCCACTCGAAATGTCAAATATCATATTAATTTATTTTTTAAAAGCAAATAGAGAGTAAATGATAGTGGGATCCAAGACTAAAAAAATATTAAAATAACATTTGACATCAAGCTTTTTGATATGTTATTTTTGATATATCTCTTCCAACTTTCAAATCTATATAGGATTTGACTATTTGGTTGGATCAACTTTAACATTCAATTTTTGCCTTTTATGTGGCAATTTGACATATCGGTTGGAGATGCTCTTAGTTAGGAAACCATTTTTCCAACCTAAAGTGGGTGGCTGAAGGATCGTAAGGTGCTCCAACTAGTTTCCTTTGGAACGGAAATTGGCCATACATGGGCAAAACCTAGTTATTGTCCTTGTACTTTGGCACTTTCAAGTCAAAATCGATAATTTGCTCAAATGTCCATTGAAGCTTCAATTGTTTGTGATAGGATTCATCCATTATTACTCTTCTATTTTTCTTTTTCAGACTTAGATACATATCGAGGAACTTTGACGGAGGAAGCACTCATGATAAGCTTATTTGATACACATCCTTTATTTATTTATTTAAAGGAACATAAATTAATAACCTATAAACATTACATAAGAGCCGATATGTTAACAATAGCCTCATTAAAACCTTCTCAGAAAAATCCAAACGAGAAAAGAGTACTACATATGCAACAGACTAATAAGAGAGTCCAGACAAAAAACAGAAACACAGAACAGTCACCTCTAAAACAAATCTACCCCGCCAACACACACAAACTAATAAAACCCAACAAAAGAGCACACCAACGCTTCTCTGATTTTGTTAAAGAAGGGCTCCTATGTAAACATAGTCCTTTGTACAACGCAAGATTTGTTCAACATGCAAGGGTAGAACCAAAAGAACACCAAAGATGAACAATCTGTAGGAAAACTCAAAGAACCAAACTGAAGCAAAAAGAACCCATCAAAAGAGCACACCAACGCCTCTCAAATTATGTCAAAGAAGACCTCATATGTAAGCATAGTCCTTTGTACAACGCGAGATTTTGTTCAACATACAACGAGCATAACCAAAAAAGTACACAAAGACAAACAATCCATATGAACAAAACACAAAGAAGCTTAAGCAAAACGAAACCTAACAAAAGAGCACCAACGTCTCTCAGGTTCTGTCAAAGAAGACCGCCTATGTAAACATAGTAGAACATTGTACTTTATACAACGTGAGATTGGTACAATATGCAATGAGTTAGAAACGAAGGAACACCAATACGAACAGCCACAAAAACAGAACACAAAACAAAAAAGAACTGCCTCGGGACCCAACTTGCTCCCATACCGCCCTCTTGTCTTGACGAAGAAAACTTCAGGTTACCGAATGTTCGTCAGAAGCCAAGCCCACGAACGTCCCAAAAGCGAATGATCATGGAGTCCTTGGAAACCCCTCGTGACAGGACCCGTCCCGAATTTCCCAGAACCCGAGACGAACCCTGCGGAGACCCCGGCATCACCCCCATGCCGGGTTCACTCCTTAAATCTATGTCCTCGTTTACCAGAGAGGATTAGGGGCACGAGACTTCCTGCCGAAATTTCGGCAGAGTCTCCCCTATAAATTGAACATTTCCCCAAAAACTTCCACCTGCAAAAAACGCATTTTATAACCCAACCGGCAGCATGCACAATAAAATCTCATGCAATTTACATAAATGGCCTCCGGCCTTCAAATGCTTCTAGCAGAACTGCCCACAAAGCTTTTAATATAACTTAATGCATTAAACATGCATATAACAATTTCAAAATCTACTCACGCGCACCTTCACTCACTTAGTCCCCAGGACAAGCCTCAATTCAACCAAGTTTTGGGACCAACAACGAGGTCCAAACCAATCCCAATAAGACCACCTAAGTGGGGTCTAATATGTGGCTGCACCTAGTAACTTCAGGCTGCCTACGTACCCTACTAAGGGATCAAGCCACACGTAGCTCTTTCGTATCTATCCTGGCTCCTAATATCAAATAAACCATTAACACCACACAATTACATACATTCAAATATTTATCAAACACAACCCATCAAACACAAACACAATATCACCCCTCATACGACGGGACGCACCCGGCCTCGTATGGGGCCTGTCAACACGCCGGCTAATCCAAAGACGCGTGCGACCTCAC